TTATTTACAGAAGTGTGAAGTCACAGATTTAATCTGAGGTGCAAACTGTGGGTAGACACGGAGCTTCCTCTCGATAGGTATGGGGGGTCAAAGGGATCAGTTTTGCAAACTTAGACATCTAAAATTAACTTGACCAGTGAAAATAATATTGAATACGTATTTACAGATTATATGGTTATGTGAAGACCCCTTAACAAAACTGAGAACTCATAACTTATCCTTTTACTCGATATCTGCTTAGAAAATGTGGAAACTTCCTTACTGAATAATCAAAATTCAATCAAAATGTTGAATTTCCTACAAACCAAATAGTTATCAATTTTGTTTCCTGTATGTATTAGGGAGTGCTGTTGCTTTTAATGAAATTTTTTTGATACAGACTTCATATTAATAACACTTTAACTTTGGCTTAAAAATATCAAGCTAAAGGAATAATTTAGTTTTTAAATATAACATAAAACTGTAAGCATATTCAAATAGGTATAAAAATACGGATTGTTAAGAATCTTTTTTTTATTTCAAACAAAATAAATTAATACGTACGATTCATTATCAACTCTTTTTATCCTAAGTCATAAATATCAGCTAAAAAAATCATTAAAACACTTGAATTCTTTTCCTTTTGTGTTTAATTGCGTCTACCACTGCAGTACCGACATTCTTTTTACTTGAATTTTTAATATATTGGTTCAGTGCTTATTATCTATTCAAGATATGTTACTGTAGTCGGTTACGCTTCACACAAATTGTTCCGACAAAAATAGTTCCATCAAGATAAGTAGATACAACATTACTCTTTAAGATTAGAATAAGGCTGTGTATGTCATAGGTTACAGAAACCGAAATTAACGTAAATATGTTTGTAGAAAATCACCTCCCCCCCCCCCCCCGAAATGCAAATAAAAAATATTAATATTCCTATGCCCGCTCCCTCCTCAGTCTTTTCTTAACATGTTTGATAACAGAAAATATTTGGGTCATTCTTCAATTGATATTTTTTCACCGATGAATTGATTATACTAAATCAACAATTGTATTACGTTCATGTTTATTGTTCGTTAATTATCATATAATTTCCTCTGAGAGAAAAATATCATCCTGTGTGTGTGTTTTGTTAAATAACAGAATTTTCAATTCCTGGGCAGATTTTTGCACGTGTGTAGATTGTGTAAACTGTAGGGAGCGTAACTATAAAATGTGTAACAAAACCCGAACCGGGCCGGGGATTTCCAAACTGAAAACCAGGTGCAAGATGAAGCTCAGCATATTATTATGTATAGAATTTGAATTATATAAGTAAGTTAAGTGACAAATTCATTCGTATATTTCAGTAATTTTCCAAAAAAAAAGAAAAAAAAGGTGTTCAGTTTCGAATTACCCGGTCCGATCCTGATTTTCGTGACCCATTTTAAACACACTTTTTTGTGGATGCAAATGTTAGAAAAAATATAGTTGTGCTGGGATTGTATAATTTTTATTAATCAGAATTCGTATTCATATCTAATTATGTAGAAAAAAAGTTACTAAATGAATTTTCTGGTATGTAATCAAATATGAAGTTAAATGTTTAAATTTTGAAGAAAAAAAAGTTCACCAGATTTTCTACGCAAATAAAGCGTCATTTTCTTGATGAAAATTCAAGTAAATTGAAAAGTCGAATTCTTAATCCAGAATAGTTATACAACATCGGACCTATCATCGTAACTTCTCGGCAAAACAAACGTATTTCTCCGAGCTCGCTAGATGCGTTTCACAATCTCATGATCGCTCGTTTGTAGACCAAGGCTAACTGGTCTTGCAGACACGGGTATGTGCACTGTTTGCTTGGAGACTGGGGAACAGGTATGCTACGAACTCATGACCTTTACACCAGTTCCATAACAAGATAGTGCAGTTTTTTTATTGAAGTCATTAAACACTGTTAAATCTAAATGTCGAATATCTTTGGATGTGGGGAAACCCATATCTATCCTTGTTATTGTTAAGGAGATTGAGACCACTGGTTCTTGTCTATCAATGGGAAAACTAGGCAAGTAGTACCTTACCCAGTCCCCATCTCCAGATAAGAGAAAATGTCAGCACTGTGTGATATAGTCTCGGACAGAGCTGTCTTAATATTAATTCCATTCATAAATAAATCTGACAGAATAAAAGGAAATCCTGCAGTAAATATCTTATAAGAACCTGTTTATTTCATTACATATCGGAAATATCTTTGAAATCTACTTCTCAAAAACAATTAAGCCATTATTTATCATAATTATATAAATGCAACCTTAGGTATTATTTAAGAAGCTTATTCTACAGGGGTTGGGGACAGAGTAGAGAAATCAGTCAATAGCTATATAATAAAGATTTTCAATTTCTATTTATTTAAATAATAACAGGCGAAATGTAGGGAAAAACAATCGATGTGGAACATAATAAATCTAGTTAACGAGATTCGCTCCTAAGGTTTTCAGCAAATATTTGTCTTGGCCTCTTTTTAAAAAAGAATCTACGTAATGTTCTAGTTCTTATGATAAATTTCGATTCTATAAGGCTAATTGAATATTATCAATTAAGACCCTATATGATTAAATTCCATACAAAAAACATTTATTGACACACTATGTTTTGTGGAGGAGGATTTTTAAAGAAGAAAAATATCTGTTTTCCTCTTTCAAAGTTTTCAGTATCCCTATTTTTACATCCAGGCTGCACACAGAGTAATTATTTGCAATGAAATGTTCTAAGCTGTTCCTAAATTCTATATACCTAATTAACCTTCATGATTTCTATCACAATATTTGGCAAATATCTCATGAAAGTGCTTAAAATGAAAATAACTCAATTCAGCTTAAAATTAGCACTATTTCAGTAATATCTGAAATTAACAACACAGACCCCCACTTTTTATGCCATTTTCTGAATACACTGTATATAAGATAAGTTGAACCACTTTGCTTTAATTCAGATAAATGTCATTAATTTCAAATGATTTTATTTCCTTATTTTTGACAAATCTGTGACAGATGTTAAAGTATCAGTACTTCTTTTCAAAGGATAAGCATGTAATGTTAAAGTGATTCAATGTCATCACGACATAGCTGGGATCACATAAGGAAGTTGCGGTGCTCCATATGGAACGCCATAGCTGTCATATATCAGATGATCTTATTATATGCCGTGGATTATTTTTTTCATTATATGCTGTGGTTCTTTTATTATATGCTTTGGCTTCATAATTGTATGCTAAGGTTTTATTATTTTATATCGTGGGTTCATAACAATATGCGGTGTACCTATTACTTGTATTATATGCTGTATAGATTCATAATTATATGCGGAGGGTATTTTAACTATTGCCGTTGTCATTTTATGCTGCTTTTTTTTTTTTTTTATCTTTTATTACAAGTTCCCATCAATACCCATTTACAATTGCCAGTTAACCCGAGTATTTAGGATAACCAGCATAAAAACAACAAAGAAAAAGAAAACTACAAAATATGTCATTATAACAAATTTGTTAAAAGTTTAACTGGGTCTTTAAACATGCAAGTTTTTGACAAAGTTAACATGAAATCTATATCTTTTTCTAATGAACATCTAATGCTTTTTTCTAACATGAACTTCTCTTGTATAATATTTTCTATTCTGCTTTTCATTTTAAATTTATATAATTTATATGCCAGATATGATATTAAAGTATTATAAAAAAGAATTTTATGCTGCTTGTTCATAGTAGAGTACTTCGGCAACAAAATATGTCTAATCAGGGAACCTTTTCTAGAAATTCCATATTTATTGTAAACTCGATTTTATCAATGAATATATCTTATATTTTTATGCTTACTATTCGCAATGATAGATTTACATTCAGATATGAATATGCATTATGTGTTTGGTGTAAATATATATAAATATTTTAAAATACACTTTTTAAAAATCCTTTGGCGCAAGAGTTATATTTTTAGAAATCTCAGACATAAGAATGTAAACAATTAAAATGGCTGAAGGAACTGGGGGAATAATTTTGCCCATATATAAAATACTGTAGAAAACAAAACTACTATATGCTTATACCCCCACAATATTTTTTGGTAGTTGATAGTGCCCTTCCAGCTTAAAATGTATATCTGTGCACCCCCTGAAATTGCTTCTTACGGGTCTGATTAAAATGTAACCGGTTATTGAATCATCTAAATTTCAATGTGTCAACAAATTTCTTTTTCAAAACAGATTAAGAAATCATTTCCAACGCAATAAAGAAAAAAATTCAGAAGATTTTTGACATCCTTCAAAATTGTCAAAAACACCTAAAATTCAGATTTGAAATATTTAACCTTTTGCATTTTCTGGACGCAACGGTTATAAAGGCAACGAATTGAGTCATAATCAGAAACTTGATATCAAATATTACATCAAACTAGCTCTTTTATTGAGAACAATAAATCGCAATTTCCATTTATGGACATTTGAAATAATACTTGTACCCACTGCATATAATTTAAGTATACATGTACCATGTATACCACAGTATTCAATTATGAACCCACAAAATATAATTTGAACCTATAGCATATGATAATAGATCCACAGCAAATAATCATGAGCCCGTTGCATATGATAAAAAAAAAACACCCACAGCATATGATTATGAACCTTTAACATATTATTGTGAACACACAGCATATGGAGCCAAAGCATATAATAAAACATAGACCCGAAGCTTATAAACCCACAGCATTTAATAAAAGACCCACAACGTATAGCTACATGTATACGCCTACAGCATAAAAACTATGAATACAGAGCATATTATATTGATAAAACCACAGTAAAACTATATCATAATAGACACACAGCATATAATAAAATAACTAACATTAGGCAGTCATGGCGCTTCATACTTCCGTACAAGTGTACACATGATGCACGTGAATTAGAAATATGAAGGAAGACGGTTCTAACTTAATAGCCATTTTTACCAAGGAATATATTGTCGTGTGATTTTTTTTCAGTTAAAAAATGGATATAACTCTATTGTTTGCTGCTTATATTTGTGAAAATGAATGTTTAACAGAGTAAATTTATTGTTTTACAGATGGAGGCTGTTGGATATTTTCTGATATTTCCATGTTTCCTGATCATGATAAAAGGTTTTTTGTTTTAATTTTCTTGTGTAAAAATTACATAGGTCTTTTGTTTTATACTAACCAGAAATGTATATAATTTTTTTTAAAAATCCAAACGGTGAAGTACATATACTGTGTGTACTATCTGTTAAATGAAAAAGCTGACGATAACAAACAGTGAGTGAAGTAAAGAAATTTAAAAAATCAAACAATGTTAAATCTGTGAAAAATACAGAGGTTTATTGGGTACCTGGAAAGAATAAGCAGTTAAATGTAGTTTTATTATATCTAGTAAAAACTAATTAACATGTATATTCATGATGGATTCGTTTCCCGAAATATTATATGCAGGCCAAATGAATAGCTTATTTATCCTCACAGTGAAGGATCTCTTTATCGATTTGTAACTCGTATGTACTGGAATTTGTGCAGGAAAAAGAATATGGCGTAATAAAAGTCTTTTTTTATTTTCATTTTGTAACGCAGTTTTGAACACAGTTTAAGTCCCATATAAGGAATTCATTGAAAACGAAAAAAAGTTTTATTCCTATGAGGACAAAAAAGTAATATTACGATAAATGAAAGAATTTGTCTTATATCATAAAATATAATTGCTTAAAATGCTTAAAATGGCCACTTGGACAAAAAAATCTCTAAACTAAACGATATATCTGTGCACTTGAAAAAAATCACTATCTTTATTCAAATCTTATTTCGAAAACTTTTTCCGACGACTTCGTAACACCAACGTTATAAAAAAAATGTTATGGAAATCGCAGCTTAAACAGTATTTTAAATATCTATTTTTATTAGTCCCCTACCGGTGACATCAAAGGGGACTATAGGTTACCTCTGCATCTGTCCGTCCGTCCGTCAGTCCATCCGTCTAGCTGTCTGTCCCTTGTCTGTAAGTCAGTCTATCCTTTGTTTTCCGCACTTTTTTTCTAAACGCTTGCAGCTGCAGGTGTTAAGCTGATTTTTGGTATTCTCTCACTGAGGGATGATGATAAGAACGTGAATTAAAGTGTCCTAACTTTTGGACATCCCAAGAAAGACAGAGTGACATCAGTTTAGAAAACTTCTTTGTAATATCTTCCCAGCTTCCTTAACAGCTTGTAAAAATTGGTCATATGTTAGGTGTCATATGTTACATTAATACATCAATCTGGAAACCTTTAGGTACAATGTAACACTCTTAGTAGGTATTTAAATTAAAGACATAGTGTTGTTTTTGATTGCTTTTTGGTGCTGTTTCTACAGAATTTACAATGTAGAATCATTTTTTATTGAAATGTTGAAAGTAAAAAGTTAATTACCTAAGCAAGAAAGGCAAGATTTTAAAGTAAATTCGTGTGAAGATAACTATCAAGCATTAAAAATTAGTCATTTGCTTTTGTTTTTTTTAGACAGATTCTATTTTGTATGTAGAAATAATTAACTTTGTGCTTGCCTTAGACAAAAATGTAATATTTTTTTTTAAATTGTTTTATAAACATTACTCAAAAGACAAAATAGATGTAAATGAATAATACATAATTATAAATAAATTCCTATTGATATCTGTTGAATTAGTATTTTGGATTCAATCACACTCTTACTTTCTAATATTAAGGACAATGCTGGAGCAATGGTACCTGTGAGTGTCACTGTGTAGACTGTAACAAAACCTGTACAGAATGTTCGCCTGGATGGAGTGGTTCTACTGTAAACAAGTGTCAAAAAGGTGAAGTATTGTTTTGTAAAATTATGTATAGGTAAGATTATAAAAGTTAAACTAGAGATCCATAATGTAATTGAGTAATTCACAAATGATTTAATAGATTTGCTACTTTTCAGCTAACACTTTGTTTCAAATTCTTGGCGAAAACGAAGGGAATTCTCAGACGCTGGATGGTAATCTTAACACTTCTGTTGATGTGTTTAACGCTAATCCATATGTGAGAATCCAATTACAGAGGTCGACAGAAATTGATAAAATAGACATCACCCTCCAACTTAGTGAGTACTAGTACCTAAATAAACTTTTAATGGATACCAGTTATTCATTTGTCAGTATCATATTGTACCATTATTGTAGGGCGTGGTGCAGTTTACACATTGTATGTTAAAGAAACGGAGCATTACCGTGCCCCTGATGCTATTTGCGATACATGGATACATAATGACACTGATACAAAGAGAACAATATCAATGATGTGCAGAAAACCTGTCAAAGGAAGAATTATAGAAATAGTATCTCCAAACAACACAGAACTCGAAGTGTTTGAATTTCAACGTTTCGGTATGTCAGAATTAAATAGTACCTGTTACTGTTGTTGTGCAATAATTCAAATCTTCTTTTAAATGTTTTAGATACATATTTTTTATTCAGTTGTTATTCAATCAATCCTATGTTTTATTAAGACATATTTATTATACGTTTTATAAATTAAATGGAGCTGATTTCTTTCTTATAATATAATTCTTTATTAATTAAAAATTTATGCACATCTTGATTTAAAAGAGTATGAAATGGATTCACTAATATAACATTCTCATGTGCATGTTGGTGTGTTTTAAAATTTGACGCTACGATATTTTTTTGTAAAAATTAAGTCACAATTAAGTGTTTGAATATCAATATCAAAATAAAAGGATGTAAAATGTGAAGGTAGCAAACAATGATTAGGTTTCCAAAATAATCAGTATGAAGATCGAGTAATTTTTCATTTATTTTCGTCCGTCGTCGTGCGGTGTGCGTCGTGTGTTAATATTTCAACATTTCCAATGTCTTCTCTGCAACTACTCAACCAATTTCAACTCATTTTGACACATAGCATCTGGGTGAAGGGGAACAAAAAAATGTGAATTTTATGGTCCCTGACCCTCCCCTAGAGCCTGAGGGGTAGGGCAAAAATCGCTAAAATTAACACAATCTTTAAAAAATCTGTTTTTTTTTTTACTCCTGGAAATCAAGCAAGTTCATGTTTGTTTATTAGTAAAAACAGGTGACTATCATATTCAGTGCTCAGTATACATTTTTATTTGTTCAAATCATGACCCTCGGGGGAAGGGCGGAGCCACAATATGGAATCCAAGTTTAACATTGAAATAGATGGTAATTTTAAAAAAAATCTTCCCAAGACCCACTGGTGCAGAAGAGCTGAAATTTCTATGGAAGCATTCTTGGTTAGTGTAGATTCTAAAGTTGTCAAATCATGACCCCCCGGAGGTAGAGCGGGGCTTCAATAGGGAACTGACAGGCAATTAAAGTTTTACATTAAATATAGAGGAAACCTTAAAAAATATATCCTCTCAAGAACCAATGGACAAAACATCTGAAACTTATATGAATGCATCCTGGGAAAGTGTAGATTTTAAATTGTTCAATTCATGACCATCCGCCTAGGGTAGGGCAGAGCTTCAATCGGGAATTCAATTTTTTTTACTTTGAAATATACAAGGGATTATCAAAAATTTCGTGGACTAAGGCTATAAAATTAGTGCTATGTAGTTTATGCTCTCTTAATTTATAAGAAACGCACAATAACAAAAAAAAAAATAAATTTTAGCTTTATACGTTCTTTACTTTTGAAATTATTATAAAATAAAAACGACTTTATTAGATCACCTGACGCCGTTACTGTATAGTTTCATGACGCCCGACAACGTCACATTGTTTTTCAATGTCCGCCTCTTCTACCTCATACTCTTATTTTGATGAAATTTCCTGGAACTGAGTGAGGATTTTAACCCGTCTTGTTTATATAACTTTACAATGTTTATAATATTGCAAATAGACGTATACATTGGGAGAGATCAGAATTGATTATGCCTGCATTTTTTTTCTTTATGGAGTTAAATATCTACATCACATGATCATCGTCAATTTTCGAAGTGATTGATTTTTAATACCTGGAATACAAATCGACATTAACTGCATGTGCATCTCTTTTCTCTCTGAATCTATTTTGGAATTAAGGGGGCCGACTGGGGTTTTATTGTGTGAAAAATACAATAGCGAAACTCATCATTTTTATAACATACATAACATATTAACTTTAGTGTACATGCAATATTTAGGCGAAATCTACCGGCTAGGTATTTTTAAAGGACCGTCTCAAATTATGGGTACATTTACTATAGGATTATATGGGAAAGTGCCAATTTTTAGCACTTAAAAGCAAATTATACAAATACACTTTTTGTTCAAACTATTATATATGATGAGTAATACTATATTGTACATTATGTATAAGAAACACGAAATTCTACCGTCTTGTTACCAGAGGGGCATCTTAAAAAAGCCAAAAATTAACGAATTTTTCTGTTTTTATAGCGTACTACAAAAATGGAGATATTCTTAAATTTCTATGTTTTAAATTTCATGAGCGAATGTTTAATACTTTTTATTTAAAAACATTTTTGTTTCCCCTTTCTTTAAGAGCTTCAGTTTATCAGAACGTCAAGAAGACACTATAACGACGTCAAGCCACCTATCAGTTGCAAAACTGGTTAAAAATTCAGTTATATAAAATTGTAATTACAATTTTAAACGTACAATTTCTTAATTTTGTTTAATTTTATTAATCAAGTGAAAAAGTTGCTTTAATAAAACAGTAAATACGCTTCATTTTACTATGATTCGCGAAATATTACGCAATGAAAACTACGATCGACCGCTTTAAAAACAATTATTCCGGATGCTTTTTATTTCTCGGTAGCCAGTTTACACATTTTCATCTCAAAAAAAAAATTGTCCAGGAATGCTGAAACTTATGTGGCGGTATCCTTGGTTAGTGTAGATTACATTCTGAATTGTTCAAATCAAAACCCAAGGGGTTATGGAGGGGCCATAATAGGGCGTCCGTAGAGAATAAAAGTTAAAAATTAGAAAATATAGGAAAATCTTTAGAAATCCACTCAAGAAACACTTGGCCACGAACTTGAAACTGTTACCATGGCCCCCGGAGAGAGGGAGAGACCATCGTAGAGCCTCTTGGTTTAATTATCAAAAGGCACGCTATCAAGATTTTGAGAGAACGTGTTCTAGCCAGCATTAGTAATACAAATAGGACCTCTATTAAACAAATATATAAACTTGACCTGTTGCTTTAGTAAAAAAAATGCATGGCATAGAAGTTGCACATCACTGATGGTATACCTCGATTATTTGTGGAAGTGAAAATTCACTGAATGATTCATTTTTGTTTACAAACAGATATTGTATTTACATTTTTTTATCATAAACCTGGAGAATATATAATATGAAAGATAACCAGTAAGAAACATTGTCGATACAAGTAGCCAATTGTTATTTTCTTGTTCATAGCATGCTATATGATCTAATAAATTTTGGCACAAAGACAGTTATATGTAGTTATAGGAAACTAGTGTCTCTCTGTGAAAGTGAGATTTCGTTCGAAAGTCTTGTTTTTTAAGTAATCCTACCTACTTAGTTGAATTCTAACATTTAGAGCCAAAATAAGTTTGTCTACCAAACCTATGGTCATGTATAGAATAGAATTAAAGAACGAGACTTTGAGTAGACTGGTAACTAACTCACACTAGGAATAGAACTAATATTTTATTCTTTGATTTTGTAATAATCATAAAGATTGGGAATTTGGGATATTTTGTTTCATGTATTTATATATTCTTCCCATAAATCTTTAAAAGATAGGGAAATAATACACAACATTCGTGAAAATAGCTTTACATTTATCATTGCGTTGATTAACTGATATTCAACTTTTTTCGTAAACTTAGAATGCACGGATGGCTCTTATGGGGAAAAATGCAGCAACATGTGTCCAACAGGCTGTGACAAAGAGTGTGACAAAGTTACTGGCAGTTGTGTTTGTCGCAGGGGTTTCTATGGAACGTCTTGTAAGAACAGTTGTCCTCAGTCCTGTAATGAAAGAGGATGTAATCTGCATACAGGCGATTGCTTTGAATGTAAGAATGGCTTCTTTGGTAATCGATGTGAAATAAATTGTTCGTTGGGTTGTCTTGAACGTTGTAATATGACGACCGGATATTGTAAATGTAAAACAGGTTTCTTCAAAGAAAACTGCTCCATGTCTTGTCCAGCAAGTTGTTTAAACAATAAATGCGACCAAAATACAGGAGAATGTCTGTCATGCAGTAATGGTTATTATGGAAGTACCTGTAATAAAACTTGCCTTGGAAAATGTCAAAGCGGTTGCGAAAAATTGACTGGGGTGTGTGTTAACTGCATAGATAACATTTATGGTCATTTCTGCAATCTCACATGTCCACAAAATTGTGCTGGGGAATCATGTGTTAGGAATGGAAACTGTGAGCAATGCAAGAGAGGATACAGTGGTTCTAAATGCAATGAAACGTGTCCAAATAATTGTAATTGGTGTAGTCAAGATGGATACAGTTGTGGAACTTGTAAAGATGGATATTTCGGTGTAAAATGTGCTAAAATGTGCCCTTCTTCGTGTGGAGGAAATGGATCTTGCGATATTCAATCAGGTTACTGTCAAATATGTTCTTCTAAACTTCATGGCAACTTTTGTGAATACACTTGTAGTAAATATTGTGATTCACCTGGAAAATGTGATCAATATACTGGAGAGTGTAAAAGTTGTGTTCCAGGTAGATATGGACGAAAATGCTTAAACGAGTGCAGCGCAAACTGTCTTGATGTCACCTGTTTCAGCAATCAGACGTGTGTTCATGGGTGTAAAGATGGATGGTATGGTGAGCAGTGCAAGCATGACTGCAGTGCTGTCACGGGAAGCTGTACACATTGTGGTTTTATTGAAGGAGATGATGAAGTAAAATGTCTGAGATGTGAGGATTCTTGGTTCCTAAACGAAGCAAAATGTGCCAAGTGTCCCGAAAATTGTTTATCGTGTTTATCAAAAAATTTGTGCACACAATGTAAAAATAATCTATTCTATGGTGTAATGTGTGAAAAGCGATGTCACGACGCTTGCATACGTAAAGAATGTGATGTGAATGGAACATGTTTGTATGGATGTTCTAACGGTAAATATGGTATTGAATGTGACCAAAATTGTCCTGAAGGTTGCAGATTTTGCTACAGTGCGTCTGAATGCTCGAAGTGTAATGATGGTTATTACGGTGAAATTTGTCAACATCTTTGTCACGATAATTGTAAAGTGTGTCATGATAATGTGAGCTGTGATGCTTGCAAAATGGGTTGGACTAATCAAAGTAAAACATGTAAGACTAGCAAATTAGGATGTTCAGATGTTCCTCATATCTGTGCTTTCTGTGATCACGGATTCTATGGAAATCAGTGTGAGGAGAAATGTGAACACTGTATAAATGCAACATGTGATGACGTAGGAAAATGTGACATAGCCTGTAAACCAAATACCAACGCTACAAAGTGTGAAGCATTAAAAGGATCTGGTAAGCTTTCCTGATTTCAAATCATGTCTGAAATTTCATCATAAATGTTTTATGTAATTTCACTATTCTTGTTCTAATATTGCAATCAATATACTTAAAGTAATGGATTGATTGATTGATTGTATATTGTTTAACGTCCCTCTTGAGAATTTTTCACTCATATGGAGACGTCACCATATGCCGGTGAAGGGCTTCAAATTTTGACCTATAGTCGGCACTCAGTTCCATTGAGCAGTGAGGGTTCTTCATCGTGCCAGCGCATATCGTGACATGGGACCTACGTTTTTAAGGTCATATCCGAAAGACCCGTGACTTTCACTTCTAGTGCCGAGCGCTTGGCGAAGGAACAGTCACTACCTTTGTTTACGTCTTAGGTATGACGCGGCGCCGCGAACGAGAATCGAACCCGGGCCTCCCGATCACGAAGCTAACGCTCTACCACTAGGCTACCGTGACCGGTCTTAAAGATATGGATTACATGTAACAGTACATTTAGTTAGAAATCCTAATTCTGAAAGATTTTTTTCGCTAGCAGATTTTACAATAGTAAATTTGTAAAGGAAAATTTATACTGTTCATTATCAGCAAAATAGCGAAAATTGTCAAATTTCGAGTATGTTTTAGGAAATTTAAATAAATTCCCCAAAACATGGAATCTACTCTTGAATTTTTCCCAATCTTGTTAATATTTTCACGAGGATTCAAGAAAGAGGAAGAGGCTAACTCGAGTGTACTTAAATGTATTGTTGTTTATAACGATTGTTGTGAAGTTTTTGGAATCCAGTATAGATCGATATTGTACGTCGAAGTCAAATAGGTTGCCGGTAAAATTGAATATAAATGTATTATACTGTAGATCACTAAATTTTCGCGACACCTTATTTTCGCGAGAGAGTGTCATTGATTCTTGATAAGCGAAACAAAATTTTCACGAATTGTGGTTATTGCTCTATATAATCTTAAGGAATACTATTATGCGCGAGAATTAAATTTTCGCGAGCACACTGTCTCGCGTAATTACGCGAAAATAAAGTGCTCTCGAATAAAAAGTGATTTACAGTATATAAATGAGTTATGAAAATGTGAAGAAGTTCATCATAAGGAAGGTTTCTTTATGTTATATTTGATAACCAAATCCAAGCTCCTCTATACTGCAGCTATAATAAGCCTTAACAATAAAATTTATAATAATACCTGCTTTGTAAGTTGGAACCTGCATATGAATAAAAAAAATATTTATGAAAAAACGAAAAGCGATCACAGTGACTCATAAAAACAGCAAACAATGCAATTTTGTGGAGAGGGCATAAACAGGAAACCTGGAAATTGGAGTGAACGGCTCAGATGCGTAGGTGGAGTAAACATCCCTGAACCCTAAGTATTAATAGATAGATGGAACATTCTGCAGTATAAAGCTTACTAGTATGAGACAAGCCAGCGAAAGTGCAAACGACTTTTTAGCCACATCTAAAAACAGGGGAATAGATAATTTTCATATTTCCCTTTCGCCGTTTAATTGTAGATATCCATATTTAAATTTTAATCCATTCAGACAAAGTGTCTACGTTTTCTTTTTCAAGTTTGACTCATTCAAAGAGTGCGTAGGCTTAGACAGAATCCCCAATATTTCCAGACCGTTGCCGCTATTTGTAGGAACTGGGATTCTTACATTAAATTATATTTACATTTATATTATCAGACCCTATGTCACAAAGGAGATTATATTCGAATTAGGAATATTCATAAATCTGCCCATTCGGAGTGAATGAAGTGATTTAAAGCGTACATATACAGTTCTTTATAAACAGTTATGTCATTTTCACTTATAAACATTACAAATAATTAGTTTTTAACCAATTAGGATAAATTCAAGTTAATTTTCAGCAATATTTGTAAATGTTAATCACGTTTCCTTTTTTCAAATACAGCTGAAATAAAATAGAATATGAAATGAACTTTTACAGTGTTTTGATTTGTTTAAAATGTTTCATTACACATGGACACATAACGCAGTAATTTTTTTTTTTGGCAAAAGTATTTATTACAAATGTTAAATTCATTTTCTTTTCAGATGGCACCGATCCTTCACCAGAATTCTTGATTATCGCAATTGTACTACTTCTTGTCACTCTTATAACAGCCGTTATTGTCATTATATATCTGAAAATCAAAAGGTAATATATTTTACATACTTCTTTTTATAAATTAAAATTCTCTCAAAATAAAGCTTTGTAACAGCTCAAACTGAATTTACAGGAAGGTCAGAAGGGTCAAACCACAAGAAGATCAACTGACTGTGCACTTGAGAAATGGTAATGCTAGCTATTAAATATCTTATATTATATATTTACTTTATGCATTTCTTTTTATAATAGTTCTAATTTTAAGCATTATAATTTTAAGGTCTTGTCGCTGAAAACAATGAATTATCATTGTATAATATTCGTGGATCCCAGGCCCTTCTAACAGAACTTGATCCAGAGGAAGATATTGAGGAAATCATTGTTCCAGTGATTGAAAACCACAACTACCTTAATGTGAAAATTTCGCGTATTTTCGTTAACAGCCTCTGGGAATTTACTCTAAAGAATAAAGCCAACGATTACCTCAAGGAAGAATTCAGGGTATAATGAATCTTTTGTAGATGAATTCTATAAGTATTTGCAATATTAAGTATTAAGTTTTAATTCATCAATAAAACTGGTTAATTTCCTTTTGTCTGCAGGGCCTTCCTGAAGGGCTGTTGTTGGAGTGTAGAGTAGCAAAGAAAACAGGAAACAAAAAGCTAAACAGATACAAGCATATTTATCCTTGTAAGTAAAAAAAAAAATCAGAGACTATCATATTTCATTGATATCAAATGAATATTATCATCTTAGAGTCTTGATCTATTGACTAGTGAACACCGCTATGAAATTCATATATTAAATAGCGGTTCTTCCATCAATAAAGCTCTCCCCTAAATTCCACTTTATTTTTTAATTATAAATAAAGAAATAAACATGAAGTATAATAAAATTCCTTCTTTAGTCATTAATACGACAATAAACGCTGCATCTCCAAACTACGCGGGTAGGGTTTTTTCTGCAGAGGTTACAACCTTAATTCCCATACTTACATATGTATTACAAAAAGCATTTTGTTGGTTACATTAAAAACAAGTAAAAGAAAGCCTGGTTTGTCTTCTTTTATTTGTATCAAATTATTTTAACAGATGACACAACGAGATTCGTTCTTAATTTCGAAAACGGAAACAAGGCAGGGGATTATATCAATGCCTCTTATGTGAACGTAAGTGTTTTAAGTTCTCATACTTCCTTTCATTTACAAATCACAAGAATGAATATGTCTGAGAAAAAAGGTTGTTTTATTTTTGTTATAAGTAATATTTTTATCGGTACTGAAACCCATATACATATATATATAGAAATCGTAAAACTATTTGAATAGAATACATACAGTAAAGTACATGTAACTGACTTAAAAGGATGTTTTATTTTTGTTATAAGTAATATTTTTATCGGTACTGAAACCCATATACATATATATAGAAATCGTAAAACTATTTGAATAGAATACATACAGTAAAGTACATGTAACTGACTTAAAAGGATGCAATATTGACTTCCTGGCTGATGTAAGTAAGTGCCCCTTCACACTCATTTCGTATGAATATGCGATAATTTGAAATATAAAATACTTCAAACTTTAAGACATTTACATAACTGTATGAATTTTTATAAGGTCACGAAGTTCACTTTCGCACCACTGATAATCTACTTTAAAGTTGAGGGACCGACAATGCGATTACAATAATACTACAGCGCGATGCTGCGCTGGCTATTACACGATAATACTTGGCACCACAATTGGATAACAATGACGCGAAAGCATCCCAGACAGTAAATATCGTTCATTATCACCATAAATGTACAGTTGAACCATCGTAACATCGTAATCGCATATCGCTTCATTATGCGATATCATTGTTGCACAGTTGTTTTATCGTCATGGCATTATTGCCTCTTTGCACGATAGACCTAAACCTTAAAAAGTGTGGTGAACTTCATGACTATACCCGCATTCTATAGAACTGACATTATTTTAATTTCATGTAATTTGGAAAATTTCAGGGACTTGAAAATCCCAGAGAATATATAGCAGCCCAAGGCAAGATACATTATAGAGTTTAATATTAATATATCGGTTAATATTCATTGTTTATTTGAACAAAGCTGACAACTATTGTGTTCAGCTTCTTATTATTCAATATTGTTGTTTCTAAAGGTCCATTTACTGACGATACGATAAAAGATTTTTGGCGAATGATTTGGCAATCAAAAGCAAACACAATTATTATCTTAACAAACTTGGAAGAAAACAAAATTGTAAGTATCTCCTAACTTTTAGTACCTGTGGCAAAATTCACAGAAGTATTTATTGGCTAGCTTTAATATATTTTATAAAATCAGATGAAGTGCAAAAAGTACTGGCCAAAATCTGAAATCACTTATGGAGATTTTCACATAGAGATTGAAACAGAGGAGTCATCGCCGCTGTTCACAGTCCGTCGTTTCAACCTAAATAAGGTGTGTATGTATTTATACCATCATAAAGCAAATCTTTATATTTAAAAATGCTTAAATTTTGAAAGTTTTTTCAGCTAATATTTTGATATAAATAACTTAAAAACAAATTCGGATAAACAGAATAGTCTTTTATTTGAAACCACATATATATTATATGGAACAAGATCATTTTTAAAGGGTACGTGAAATATGTGGATATCAAACAGTAATAAAGCTCAAAACTCAAATAAAAAATGAAAATAAAAAACCAGATAGGATCAGATACAACGGAGATATAAGCATCCCCTGTCAACTGGTCACTTGCCATGTGCTCCTAAACGGAAAGTCAGTACAAAATCAGAGTGAAAAATGATGGTCTAACAATTAGTATGCTACACATTAGTCAATTTAAAGATAAACTGTTTCTACAACAACAGTTTCAAAGGCATTTTGTTACGAATTACATGTACTGCAAACAAGATTGCCAAAACATATATACTTGTATCATTAATTTGGTTAGTGATAGCTGCCGTCGTTGAAGAAATTGGTCGTACATCTAATAATGCGCTACATGTAGGTCCTTCTTATCTTCTTAAGAACTGAAAAAATTCTTGTTATTAGTTGTACATTTTGAATATTTTATATATAAAAAAATATTGGTTTGTAGGGATTATATTCCGTTGTTATAGAAATGTTGAGTAGTAATGCATAAGATTTTCTTTAATCCGTGGTCGTCATTAATTCGTGGGTTTTCAATACCTTGAAAACAACGAAAATTAAACTCCCACCAAAAAATTGATTTCTCAGTATATTCAGCCAAAAGAAAAAAAAAACATATTTCGATCTATATTCCTTTCAAAATGTGATTGTCCTTGTGCTTATGGTCTTAGTAAAAATTTTTTTGATGATTTTATTTTTAAAAATATTCTATGAGAAGAGTTTCTTTATGATTTAAACTTAAACTTTTGTGTTTCTTTTGTTGCCATCGTATATTAACTTAATACTTCAAGCATAAAACTATTCACAGGAAGGTGAAGAAAGAACAATAGAGCAATTTCATTTTACGGCCTGGCCAGATAAAGGTGTCCCCAAAGACGTGAATTCAATCTTAGAATTCAGGAACCGATTTATTCGTAAGACAGATATATCGGGACCCCTTGTAGTACACTGCAGGTAGGTATAGTACGTCAACCTCGAATCTATTCTACAAGGTGCAGTAAGTCAAATATTAACATTTACACTGCAAGTAGAAAAATGTTGTTAGACATTCTCTGATGGTAAAAAAATTGTGATTATTAAATCACCGTTGTCCTAACTATTACATACAAGTAGAGATCAAAGTTTATCATCGTCTTCACTATTACACGGTAGATAGAGGGTAGTTAGTCTGTCCGTTTTCCCTCCTGTAGGTGGATGTAGTAATTGTAAGTCAACTACGTCTTCACTTTTACCAATGCAGATAAAGGAAAAGTACGTCTCACAGCATTGTATTCAGATTAACCCAGTAAAGAAAATAATTATACCGTTATATTAACTATGAAATGATATTATTTTAAAGTGAAAATGATATAAAGTTATGAAAGTTTATTGTCATGTAGAGCAACTTAATCAATACATGAAAATCTACAAATTGAAAATAGCAATGTTCCAAACTTTAAAAGACGGATTTAAATAAACTACTTGTCTTTTAAATTATGAATAACATATGCTTCAAATTGGATGATTAACAACATGGCCAAGCTAAAACACAAGTGGTTTCCTGTTTACAAGGACTTTGTTTTTAACTGTTCAGGAGATCTATTCGCATACCACATTATATCAAGCAAAAACATATCTAGTTTTAGTTACTCTGAATTTCCCAGTGCGTCATGAACATATGATGTTGACGATAAAAATGTTTTTCCTTCTCGAGAATAGCACAGCATAGCACAGCTGACAAATAAGACATATATAGAAATAATTATCCTTGAAAATTGAATGAATTTAAATTTGACATTTTTGGAATTTTGAAGTTTTGAGGAAATATTATATGCTATTTTGTTAATTTTATTCCAAAGGATGATTTTTTGAAGAAGTATAATTAATGTAAATCAAAGCCAAATAATTATTTGTCCACTTACAATTGACTTCGATCAAATATTGTATGATTATGTTCTGTTGATAGAAATACAATGATAAATGATTTGAGTAAAATTCTGAAAGAAAAAAATGTCGTTTGTATAAACAAATACAATTATTTGCTTTGGGGACATTTTTAAGAGGTCCATGGGGCCATATAGGAAAGGGCATAATTCAGCTTTTTATTGAAAAGTTTAAATTAATAAGCGGTTTAAACCTACCCTTGGAGCTGCATTGGGTGAACTGAATAAACTTGAATCTACTTTAACTATTTACAGCAAGTTGAATCTTCTTGGGAATGCTTTTGATTTATATGACTAATCATTGCTTTGGTTTCCAGAATAATTATTTTAAACTATTTGTAGTAATAATAGCTTTGTTAGGGAGATATTAAAATTTATAATTTTTTGAAAAATATAATTTAAATGTATATCAATAGCTATGATTTTTTTTTCACCCTTTCAATCCTGGGTATCATGATTTGAACAAAAAGCCATAGCTGCCTTACCGACGACTCGGCCTACTCAAGTATTTAAATGGAAATCACCTGTTTCTATTTATAGATACAGGTACCTTTTTAATTCAAAAATCAAACTACATGTATATAATCTTTTGTGGACCAGTGTTATATTTTCATAGTTGCAAGTGTGTTACATGACAATAATTTTAC